CTGAAAGAAGATAATCTTTATAGAGAGAAGTAAGAGAAGTACCGTGTAAAACAGAGTTGTTGTAGGATGTTGTTCTGGTATCGGATACAGCTCTAACAGTTCTCATCTTGAATGTTGAGTAGGCAGTTACTCGCGGTTTTTTGGAAGGCACATCTGAAAAGGGAGGGTAAAGTTCAGACAGTCGTGATCCCTGCAAACGACAGAGCGTGTGATGGGGACATGGCTAGGTGCAGCCAGGTTTCCCATCAGCTGTATCGTGTTCAGTATGGCATCACTGGTGGAAAAAGGCGTCCCGGCTGCGGTGCAATCAGCGCTGCGTCACACGCCCTTTCGTTTGCGGGGATTATGACTGTAAGGTGAAGAGTGAACTGCATTTCGCTAGTTAAACCACTCGCCCTGCTTCATTACTCAGAGTCACCCAAGTGAATTTTGTTTAAAGACACTCCGACGGTTGACTCCATTTGTCATACTAGTAGCCTGGTCCGCAATCTCGGAGGTTTGCTAACTTTAGCGACCCGGTAATGGTTGACGAGGGTGCTGCGGTCAGTAATCTAAAGGAAACCATTCGTAGAAGTTTTCTCAACCATCTGGGGCCGGACCACAGCTTCGATTAGTGCGGACACATTGCCGTTGACATACGAGAGGTGCTGTTATGCGTCTAACCAAGTAGGATAACTCGTCCAAATCACTAAACTAAAGGATTTAGTACCTGACAGTGTGGAGGGCGCTGGCTTCTCAGCTGAGTCGCCTCCTAATGATCACTAGGGGGATGAACTAGTATGAACGTTTGCCCGAGCTGTCCTTGGAAGACAATTTGCCTGATACGTTTTCACAGATGGGTGGCAAAGTGATCGCGTCAAGCCACTTAGACCGGGACGAGATGTGTTAGCACGCCTATATCTAGGAGCACAAAAAAGGCGCGTTGCTTCACGCACGTGAGCTCGACCTGCGCATTCTTTCGCCTTCCAGCACTTCGCTGGTCTTTCCTCCGCGAAGCAGCGTCTCACATCTAGAAATACTCGCCCAATGCCCTGGCCCCGTGTGGGACATCTCCAGCGATTGTGCCTCGAGCGGATTGTGCCCTCAATCCTGCGCCGGGTAAGTTTACATAGTTTCCAGATCACTTTTGGCCCCCAAGATATCGTAATTTTGTGCGGAAGTGTATCTTTGAATGCGAGAGGATGAGCCTCCTTTTTTTGCTACGGTGGGTTATTGTATAAGTTGATAACGCCACAGTCTGTCTGCGAATAAACGGAGATGGACCGTATACATGGGGCGTTTTTATCATTGATTGTTTTCTCCCCTGAATCAATCACTTAGCGATCACCATTGGTTGACGAAGGCAGCTGGAGGCGGGCGCATCCCGCCTGTTCACACAGGCCCCGACTTATGCCCATGGTAGAAACTATCATATCGAATGCAAATATGTGTAAGAAAAAAAATGCAAGATGGTCGAGACCAATTTAAACTGTGAGGCAGGCTCAGATTCGCGACGAAGGCGGCTTCGGTTTTGCTGTTTGCGATCGATGCGGTCGAAAACATGCGTATCGATCGCCGTCGAACGCGCTATGGGAGCGCTGCCGTCGCGAAGTCTGAGCGCTGTCTAAGCAAGGAAGCTAACGCTGACTCCCCATGTCAGGTGCGTGACATTATCATGATCAAACTACTAGTGAAACATTTTGCTAAATAACTGCCTGGTTGTGTTAAATGTAATGCCTAAAGCAGATCGTTTCAGAAGCTCCAGGATCGGAGGATCCGAAGCGTATGCGACTGGTTTTCTCGAATAAGGCAGGAAAGGCGAAGGTACAATTGGTTGATACGCCAAACGCTGAATCTGAATCTGCTCCCACGGAAAAAGAGGAGGTGCCCCCGTCGAAGAGTCCGGATCCACCTGAAACACAAAACACATCTCGACCACAACGTCGTCGTCGACCTCGTGTCATTTCATTGTCTGAGGCTCCCACTACGGGTGCAAGTACAGCCACAAGCAGTGAAGTTGCCAGTAAGGCTCCTACGGCACGTGGTCGCGCGGCTGCAGCAAATTCCAAAAATGCAGCAGCGGCCAAGGCTGCTGCAAACACTGAGGCGCCACCTTCTGCGGTAGCGCTAGAAAATGGCATCATCCCATCAGTCGAGCCTGCTGTTACTGAAGTCCCTCTGGCTGTGTTGGTTCCTCGAGCAGCGTTTGCAGGCAACTCATTGAGTTCAGCTTGTTCATCCTCCATTCCCTCTCATGTTGGTCAGGCCGAGAAATCACAGTCAACTTCGCCCAGCGTTGCCATTGCAACTGTTCGGCCAGTAGAGACGCGTACTGGTTTACGTAGTCAAACTACTCCCTTATCCCCAACAGTTAGCCGTCAGAAACCTCTTGCGGATCAGAGTAGCTCGCCAAAGAATGCAGATCCTGAAAAGGAAAGGATCAAGAACGCCAAGGAAATGAAGCCTCCTGTGAAACTTGGGCAAACTGTTGATGAGGAACCCATCGATCAGCGTAAAGAGGAACCAGAGGTAACAACTTCGTCTAAAAGGATGGTAACGAGAGGACCGAAGCGTACATTGCGAAGTGCTCCTGCAAAAAAGGAAATAGGTAGGGCATATAGCACTTTACTGTTTTATCGCAGTCCAATCGTCTGTTTGTAGCTGAGAATATTACGTCGGCATCAACCAAGGCTCCCACTGCTGCAGCACCAGGTTTACCCGGTGAGATTTACTTCATTTACCTTTCTTTCCTTTTGGCAGTCCATTCTGAAACATGCAATTGAAGGTGCTACTATTCTCGATCAACTCCTTCCTGCAAATGAGGAAAGATCGAGAACGCCGGTCACTGCAACAGGTAAGTTTTGCACTTGTACGAATGTGGTTCACCACGAACAACACGTTGGGTTCTGGAAAAGTACCTGTTCACTTTCGGCACCAAAATAAATGGGTGTTCTTTTCAGGTGTTTCGATACTAGACCAGTTACTTCCTGCTGATCCGAGGCCTGAAACTCCTTTGTCAGCAGGTACTTAGAAATGTTGTGATCACTTCAATTTTGTTTGTAAATTATATAAGAAACATTTAGGTGTCTCTGTCCTGGACAAGCTTCTTCCGAGTGAAAACTATGCACAAGCTACCCCTCCCGGTTCTGCAGGTATTATATACTGCCAGACAATTGCTCTTCATGCACCTGAATATTTTTCTTATAGGTCTTCCAAGTGTTGATCAGCGATCACAGATTAAACCAACCAAATCTAAGCAAAGTAAGTGTTTGTAGTAATTCGCTTCAGTTCTTCTAGATCCAGGTCCATTACATGTATTTCAGATTTGCCTGCTCTTGACGCGCTCCAGTCCAACACACAGCTTCTTCTATGTCTATCAAAGCCGCTGAGCAATTGGAGCAGTTCAAAATCCAAGCGAAAGATGAAGGTAAGAGAAAGTTAGTACTGCTTTAACTTGATGATCCTTTTATGTTCGAGCGATTGTTTATTAGAATACGTTGCTCATCTCTAAAGACAAATCTGTTATTCGCCCTGGGATGATTTTGTATGGCGCAAGGTATGTAGAGGCTATTCGTGCGCTTAAGTTGCACGTGAACGGGAATGGAGGGTCCTCCTCCTGCCTGTAAAGGGTACTCCTCCCGATATTTTCAGCAGAAAGCCAGTTGGATCGCGCAGTCCTCCTCTGCGTGTAAAGTTGGTTATCTTTCATATTTTTCATGGTTATCCTCTCATATTTCATCAGAGTTAGGAGAACATAAAGATCGCGATGTGAGAGGGCCGCTAGACAAGTCAGAGGATTTGGCCACGTTTAGAGTGGGGCAGGAACACGTAGCGGTCAATGCCAGGGTCCGGGATTCAGCTACCGTAAGTATCGTACACCTCCAACCCCGTATCTCTGCATTTTTGTTCGGAGAAAGACGGCGTACTTAGAGCTTAGGGCATCCATTCAATCGAATGGCAAGAACAGGATTTCACGGGAGGCCCGCAGTTTACAGGCCTTTAGTGTTGTGGGAGACAACTGTGTTAATTTTTCCGTGTTTCTATATTGTTGTCTTTGCAGAGGTAAAGAGTGGCATGGATGAAGAACAGCGAGTCTGAACAGACGGACAGCGTTGCGGTTGGTAGGAGCAGAGGTTTATCGGTTGCTCGACATGAGGCACCAATCGTTCTGTTTATCAGAGCGCCCTTTCGAAATGACCCTGTAAAGGAATGCGAGTACAAAAGGGCATAAAAACAGTCAGGCAATGTACGCAAATTGCGGCAGAAAGGAGGACGATCGGGGATAGAGAGCAGCGAGAAATTCCGGACATAGGAGACTCGCGAAAATATTACGAAATTTAATGAATCAGGGAGGTTCGCACATTCAGAGAATCAAATGCAGTGGAGACGTACCGTTATTCCACGTTCTTACACAGGGAAGGAGAGATGTTGTCTCGTAGAGAACGGTACAATAAAGTTTTGACAGTTTTTGTCTCCTATGATGACGTGAAATCAGGAAAGAAGAATGTGAGCTAGCCAAGGATGTGGATCTGACTAGCCAAATGGAACTGATGGCTAAACTTTGAAGCGAGCTTTTGAATCAACGATCTCCTCTTATTGTGCCTATTCCTCAGGTTATACGTGTCAGGCATGCCGGTATAAGATAAGCTAATTGTTGAGCAGTACAGGTCTATTTTTAGTGTATATGTTACTGTATGGAAAAGAAAAAAGTTACTGTGCGCATGGACATCAGTTGATCACCTGGACAATATTAGTGAAATAAGGGGTAAATTTCATCCCTTATGCGATTTGTTTTAGTTCTTGGATGTTAGAGGGTTAAGGGTAGTGGGCACGATGGTTGGGGCGGGCGATTGTTGCCAACGTCATTGGTGGAATGAGTGGGTGAGGTGTGGCCAAACGCCCTCTCGCAGCCCTTCCACCAATGACGCTGGCAACGATCAGCCGCCTCCAGCAATAGTGCCCACTGCTTACAATAGAAATTATACGTAGATCCCAAGAGATTAAGCTGTTTGGGAGCGTAATAATTAGCTGATAGCGGGTTAAAGTCTCGGGTTTGGTCCTAGGTTGCTAGTGTTGTTAGTTAATGATCCTGTGATATAAGTGATGGCTCCTTTCTTCTCTTCCTAGGAAGACGGTCAAGACAATCGCATTTTGCCGCTAAGTCACGCACGGCACGGGCGCAGCGTTGTCCTAATTTGCGTTAGTCTCTCAAATGGAGCATCGAAAATCACTAGACTACGGCATCGTAGACGTTCATGGCTATTTTCGGTTATACATTATTTTTTATGCGGATCTACGGTATAGAGCCGCCGTCATTTGGGCGAGCGACGTCGCACGCGACGCTTATCAGCGCGGTGAATCACGATTGTCTTGTCACATACCCCTCCTCCTAAAGTCCTGTGGTCAACGAAATTTCCGCGTGCTAAATCATTCTCCTTGAGAATATCCGCTTCCGCTTTACAAACCCGAGTTTGCGGAAATCATTCTGACATTTGCTTCAATTCTTCATGTTTTTATTCCATTAAAACCCCAAAGAGGTCATTATCTCTT